TATAGGTTTTGTTGTCCTAGCTATCAATACCATATATTGTAGCTCTCATCGTAACCATATAGACCTATACCACAGGTAACCGTTGTCCTAGCTATCAATACCATATATTGTAGCACTCATCGTAACCATAAACCTGTACCACAGGTAACCCCACAGGTAACCGTTGTCCTAGCTATCAATACCATATATTGTAGCCTCATCGTAACCAAACCTATACCACAGGTAATCGTTGTCCTAGCTATCAATACCATATATTGTAGCACTCATCGTAACCATAAACCTGTAGTTGTCCTAGCTATCAATACCATATATTGTAGCTCTCATCGTAACCATAGTTACCTGTGATATAGGTTTATGGTTACTTGAATAGGCCATCCCATAGGTTATTAATAATTTGCATTGCAGTTATTTATCATATTAAAGATCATGTTTGTTTTTCCAAATACCAGAATTTTTTGTCATGGCTCAGAACTATTAGAACAATAATTCCTGGTTAAGAGTTACTATCGGGGTCAAAAATCAAGGGTCATGAGGAGTTGCTTTACATCCATCACGACGCTTGGTGAAAGACGTTAATAGAGCGCCATCTCTAGTCGTTTGAGAGAAACTCTTTAAAATTCACGAATTTTGTAATGTATGATTATAACGTTTTAGTAGAATAGGCTTAACTTTGACACAGCATATTTTCAGTTGTACTTACCTGAACAACTGTACAGATGGCCGATGTCATGAGACTGGGCGTTTCTTCTATCTCTGTTCTCGAGTCCTCTGGAGTAGGGCGGCTGAGGGAAGAAACAGAACAAAGATATTGTTACAAAAGCGGAAGTCACGTGACTCTGGTAACACGTGATGAGTATCTAGAAGATTCATGAAGAGGCGAGTGTAATCTAGATGTGCGCTTTTTTTATATATAAGATCGGCAAATAAAGCGGAGAAATTAATAGCAGACAGGGAGATATAGAGACAGATACTCGAGTTAAGTGAGCGGTAGTGACCGTAAGTAAAGTGCGTGAATCGTTGTGAATTATAGCGTGTGTTTAAGTTAAAGTGACTGTGGAAATTAAGTGTATTGCAAAGTTGAATTCAGAAAGAATAAACTAGTTTTACTTAAGAAAGGACTTGTATCGCAGATGTTTCTCGGAAAGAATGTATACGGAAAATTAACAAACAAACACTGACGTAACAATATTGACTTATCTCTTTAAGTTTAGTGAAGAAAACCATTGATAAAAATATAATTCAAAGAAAATACAAGGATTTCAGTTATAACTTCCACTTTTGTAAACTATTTTTTTAGGTAATTGTTGAAATCAGCTGTGATTGTTCATGTTCAAAATAAAACGTAGCTCTGAGAAAATAACTAATTACACTTTTAAACAACCAAGATAAATAAGATAATGTAATTATAAGTATTAGTGATCAACCAAACTTGTAAATAACCAAGTTAAAAACAACAATATAATTATAAGTATTAGTGATCAACCAAACTTGTAACTAACCAAGTTAAAAACAACAATATAATTATAAGTATTAGTGATCAACCAAACTTG